CTTATTTTTATTTTATTTTTGGTTTTTCTTCTTTTCTTCCAGACAGGCAACCAGTCCCTACTCATTTACCCCTAGCATACACCCACAGTCCACCAGAGGATGAAGAGAAACTAATGGAGCTGCTAGAAGAGCTCTCCCAGAAGTTTAAATCTGTTTCTCCAGGAACTTAAGTGTCTCTGCTGACACAGTGTCACCACAAATGACATAGTAACCTGCTGTTGAGGGGAAGTAGGATGCCATAGGCCTGTTAAAAATGAATTAGGTTAAGGTGTCCTCATAATGAGGCAGTAGAGTGGCACCTGTGTCATTTTTTTCTGCTCTCAGCTCTCTCCCACTGTGAATGTGCAGCTGCTGCCTCAAGACACACTAAGAAGAAATGTATTGAAAGAAAAATTGAGAGGCATTAAAATAAACCCTGAGACTTTGTAAAGTTACCTAGAATAATTTAAAACACTCAGCATAGAGAAAAGCAGAGGAGTGTACTTTCAGTAGCCTTCATGAAGGACTTCAGGAAAGAAGTGGGAATGCTTTAAACAGCTTCTAACTGCTATATTTGACAGGTTGGTGGCTTTCTTTACTGCATGAGGGTGATTGGGCTCAAACATGTAGCTGGGAATGCAGAAATTCTCTTGCAGAACCTGCTTAAAGTTTAAAGGGAAGGATTCCTCATGGCCTTCAGTTTCTATAAATTAGAACTGGTATGCAGAAGTGATCTGCTTCCTCATGTTTAAACAGCAAGAATTTAGGAACACTGCCAAATGCCTTCCACATTACTTTATGGCGCCAGGGCTAAATATTATCCCATTTATGTCAAAATACCATAAAGTAGGAGGTTTCAACACAACACACCCAGACATGGCTGGATCCAGCAGAGAAATGGCTGCATGACTGTAGACACAAAAAGAAACAGCATGCTAAGCTGTACCTGCTTGACATTTCTGTGAGAGATTAAAGGGAATTATTTTATCATTATTAATAGATTAAGAGGGGAAGGGAACTGTGGCAGGGCACAGCTTTTAGAGAAGAATCCATGGAGGAGAAGGGAGGCTTGTATTTTGTCTGTGTCTGTTTACTTCCAGACACAGAGGACAGGATTCATCTTACCTGATCTGTAAGGTCATTTGAATTACTCACTGAGTTTCTCACTGTAGATCAGTAGAGAGAAGAAAGGGCTTTTTTCACAGGGATTTACTGGATCTAGTTTAAGAAACACCACCTCCAGTGCTGCATCTTTCTAGTAGTGCTGAAGACAATCAGCTCAGACTAAGACATTCCAGTGGGACTCATTTTGTCTTAATTATTTCAGATTTACTGCAAAGCCAAGACTGCTATTAACAAATAATACATTTTCTCCTGAACGGAGTGTGTTTATTAACCAGCTGCCTCCAGAACCCAGCCAAGCTGCTGCACTGTTTCACACGTGGCTCAAACTAGTGTGGTAGGACCAAGGATCTAAACACAAATATAACACAGGTGTTCTTGAGCTCTCTGCAGTGACTGGCAGCTAAAGACTGCTGATGGACAGAGGAGAACTCCTAATGTCTGCTTTATGTAATTTAGTTTCCTCCTGGCTGATGGTATTTCCTCATTAATCAAAGATCTCCTATTAAGTATCAGTTTAAGAAAAAACTGCTTTTTTCAGCCTACTGTCAATCTCCTTAGAAATAAAGACTTTACCGTCAGAGAGGCCCTGAGGAAAATTTTCGCATGATAAGCAGTGCTGAGACAAGTCAGGCTGTCACAGCTCCTCCTGAAGAGGCTGGGTCAGCATTCAAACTGTTGCCTCATTTATAAATTAACTCTTTCTTGCACTACAGTGAAAGAAAACAACAGCAAGTCTTGTACAGAGGTTTATTTCCTGCAAATCTGGTATTAACATTTTCTATGGTTTCAGCTGGTAAACACAGTTACCCAAAACGAGAGCATGGCTGGAAGAATATATAGTAACTACATTTCTTAACCCAACAGCTGCAAGGCTAATAAAAATATTTGCATTATTTAGTATTTATGTCAATTTGCTTCTCAGCTCTGCAATACAGAAGAAAAGTTTAATGAGTGGTATTTAAATAGTTCATAAAAGTAAAAACTCTGCACTATATATCTAAATATTTAACACATTTTAGTCCACATTCTGCACCAGTGTATTTGAATAGCCTATATTTTCCGTTTTGTGTCACAGCTTAAAAATGAAGTCAAAGTTAAGAAAACTGCTTTCATCAAAGTTTGGTCACAGTGTCAAAGAGCAGTATGCTATGGTTTAAGAGCACTTGTAATTTAAAAGTAACTAAACCACAGGAACAGCAACTAGAAGCAAAGTCCAGAGTCTCAAACACTTTGGTATTATGGTCCTGTTGATGCTTTATTTCAGCCTGATTCCATGAGAGTAAACATGGCATGTGGCTGCAAGCCAGCAAGAGAATTTGTGTTAATGCAGTCCAGAATGACTTGCACCTTCATGTAAGTGAATACATTTACAGACTCACAGATTATGCTGAGTCAGAAGGGACCCACAAGCCTCATGGAGTCCAACTCCTGGCCTTGCACAGGACACCCCAAGAGTCACACCAGGTGCCTGAGAGCACTGTCCAAATGCTTCTTGAACTCTGTCAGGTTTGGTGCTGTGACCAGTTCCCTGGGCAGCCTCTTCCAGTGTCCAACCACTCTCTGGGTGAAGAACCTTTTCCTGAGATCCAACCTAAACCTCCACTGACACAATTTCAAGCCATTCCCTTGGGTCCTGTCACTGGTCACCCCAGAGAAAAGATCAGTGCCTGCCCTTCCTCTTCCCCTCACAAGGAAGTTGTAGACTGTGATTAGGTCTCCCTTCAGTCTCCTCTTCCACTTTTAAAATTTTATGAGCAAAATAAAAATAGCATCCAGATGACCAGAAAATGAAGGTAGCACTGGTCCTTGCTAAACAGTGCACACTGGGAGTTTGAAAGCACACCTGGTTCATGGGAATGGACAAGCACAGCAGCTGCTCTTGCCAACCTCTCCTGTCCATGCACAACCCAACACTTCTTGTAGCAGCTTTGGGGCTTTTATGACTCTGACCTCACTCTGATGGCTTCACATTTTTCTTCATTTCATAAAGTCACCTAGTTGGGAAGTTTTTGCTCTCAGGGATCTTGCACAGCAATGTAGCACTACAGAGCACATGTGGAGTTGGTAATTTCCCTACATCCTAATGGAAAGGCACACCCCATCATCAGTGCAGCAAGACTGACTGCAGTGATGCAGGGGCCACTACAACTTCTCTTTTTTTCTTGGATGAAAATTTTAGGAGGTCATTGTAACAGGTATCAAACAATTTCGTAAACTGCATTTTGTCTTGTTATTTGTAGTTTAATTTCTGGGTCATAAATTGTTTAAAAAAACCCCATAACAATAAACTAAATCAATCTGCTGTTGGTTAAAGGTGTAAAAAATTGTTTGTTATTTGCCTTTGAATGAAGGCACTCCCATACATACCTCACCATTTTTGGAGTGAAGTGTAAATACCAGTTGTTGGCATTTGCAGTAACACACACTCCAGCTTCTGTGTTCCATTCAGTGGGAACAACCTGTGAGCAGAGCCACCCCTTCCTGTTAAACAAGGCTCAGGTGGGATGTTGAACATGCACTGCCTGGGCTCAAAGGGAGTTCTGCTGTAGAACATTATAGCCTGGTAAGTCAGTCCTGTAAACCTCAATGTAAATAAATGTATTTGGTGGGAGACAGTCCCAGCCATTTCAATTGTCAGCACAAGCACTAATTTATATTTTTGTAATGACAGAGCCTTTCTAAAAGCCATGGCACTTGGAGCAGTACTAGTTTTCATTAAGCAGTGCTGAACTTGGTGAGTGGAGAGTGAACACAGAATTCTTCTTTCGGGAAGTAACCTGATGGAACAATGGAGGAGGACAGCTAGGAAGCAGTTTAACCCGTAAGTTCCTCTGTAGGTTACTCTCTCACCCTCTCTGCAAAAATAAAGCACCCATCTCATGACACTGGATCATACTTATCTAAAATTAGTGCTGGTCAACATCCACCCACTGTCATTTTAGACAGGCAGTTTCCACTCTGGCAATGCAAAGCTTTGCATCTTCCCTAGCTCAGTTTTCTCTGTTTGCCTCAGACTTCCCATCTCATGCTTTGTTGGGAGAGACAATTCTGGGCACATTCAGGCAGAATCAGCGACTGATTACAGGAGATAATTTTGAAATGCAACTAAGATGACCTGAAAACTCTGTATTCCTGCAGTCACCCAAAAAGCACTGATCTAGGCAACACGAGAAAGAAGGCTTTGAAAAGGCACTGAATCTGATAGGGAGCAAGTGCAACAAAAGCACTCCTGGGACTAAAAGTGATCAAATCCAAGAACTTCAATTTGTGAAGTAGGTCAGTATTTATGTTCCTCTCTCTAGAGGGAGCCATCAGATAAACTTACAGAAAAATGATGTATTCCTCTGAAAGAAGTTTTCTCTCTCAAAACAAAAGCTAACACTCAGCTTTATGAAGGGGCACAATGTCAGCCTGGCCAAGGTTCAGCAGGACAGGTTTCTACCCTGCTCCCTGGAGAAACAACTCAAACCTTTGCTGTACCAGCAGTGCCAGTGTCACGTCACAGATAAAAATATTGTCCAAACAGGGAAAGAGTGCTAAAACCTGCACTTGTGCAAACTTCAGGGAGAGAGTTCCCAGGAAGTGCCATTTTCTTTGATAGTTAAAAATCTTGGGCATCTTCCCTTTTCCGTTCAGGATCCACAATCTACAGGGAGCCTTGAAGTGATGCACAAAATTGTGCAATTCCTCTGCTGCCCAGACACCGTTTCCTTTGGGCTGCTCACCCACTGCCAGGCACTCAGGGCAAGAATTCATCCTGGCAAAGAACACGTCCATAAAACAGCTGTCAGTTTTATGGCAATTCACAGAACAGGCAGATGAATGGGTCCAGTCGAAACTCAGTAAACCAAATTCCTCATTACATACGTGGAGAAGGAAAAGAAATAGCCAAAAGCTGATAGCAATTAATTTACTGGGGTTAAGATACCACAATTTATTCAGCTACATCAGAAACACTTATTTACATAATGGAACAGTACTGGAAAGTGTTACAGTGTAGTAGGTAGAAAAAGATGGTCAAATTGTTGAGCAGCATTCCTGCAAAACACTAACCTGAACAAAGCCATGTCTTTTTTTCATATAAAATCCCTCTAATCAAAAAGATTAGCCCACAATTAGCAAAGGGATTAGCAAAGCCCACAAGATATTGGTCTGTATGACAAACTTAACACACTAAACAGTCAGAAACAAGGCTCAGCCTTTGGAAAGCTAAACCACAGCTACTGCTAATGCTAATGACAAAGATGTAGCAAGGAAGTTTGTGTACTTATCTATTTGTGAAAATTTCTTAATTACTTGGCCATGGCAACCCCACAGAATTTTCTTGGGACAGGACAAAATAGGGGTGTTTGCAATGGGTCTTTCACATCTGAAGGAAGCCCTGACCTGTTACAAAACGTAAGTGTAAAGGTGATAAACACTTTAATAAATTCAGACTATTTATTGTCTCAAGAACAAATAATTGGAGAGAGGCAAAACTATCTTCATAAGGCCTGATACCTCTTCTGCACCATCTCAGCAGTCATGTGTCTCTTCCCCACCCTCTTAATGTCCAAGTGCTTATGCATTTAATGCAGTTCTGAAAAAAACTACTTGAGGTAGGTAAATATTATTTGGCAATTGAACCAAAGAACAAGAAATGGAAATCCTCACAGACTGGAACAACTCTATGTTCCTTGTAGCTTCTGTATCTGGACCATGGCTGCTGGCTGGCTTACAGTACTGGGATGGGGGGGATGGTTTGGCTTTATGCAGTTCTGATGAACATTTCTACAGTGTAGGTGATTTTTGTTTTGGTTTGGTTTTTTTAGGTTTTGTTTGTATGCTGATAACATTCCTTCTTGGTATCCCCTCTCTGCACAGACTTTGCCAGCACTGTGCTGTCTTGTTTTCATTTTGGTTTGAGTTCAATGTCCCTACTTGGCAGCAGTTTCAACTGAACTCAATTTCTTTCTCTTCTAAGCAGTACAGTGTGTCCTGCAGCAAACAAAATTTCAGAGATGGCCAAAGACTGGTCAGAAAGGAAAATCCCCAAACTGGGAAAATGCAATGAAAAGTCATTTGATCACACAAAGTTCATCTCAAATTCCAGAACTTCAGGTTACTGGCAAACTCGGGATGACATTTTTTCTTCTGAGGAGCAAAGACTTCCTGCCAACATTCACAAGATGCAGTTTTGAAGAGAAAAAACCTCTGTCTTCCTCAATATTACATAAAAAGTCATCACAGAAGGGACTCAGCACATCAATGCATCCTGTAAAAAGGATCAAGTTTGTAGTTACTGTTGCATACTATTGCCACACATAGAAAAAAGTCTTCTAAGTCCTAACTGAAAACATCCCAGGTGCTCAGTGTGGTCTCCTGGAAAGGACATGGCCTATAAAACCACACATTGTAGCCCTATTTCCTGTGTGCTACAAAAGAGAACTTTGGTCACTGGTACACACATCCTGTTTTGAACAGCGAGGACAGATGTAGCTAATATTTGCTAATTTGTTAGTAACTGAATTGTTAGTAATTTAGATTTAAGGAAAGATACTTATTTTTTTCTTTCTCTAAGCAATAGAGTAGACAGAGGCATTAAGTGGACCTCAAACCAAAGAATGGCTGAGGTGGGAAAGAACCTTCAAAGGTTATCTGGTCCTGCTCAAGCAGGGTCACTTAGAGGCGGCTGCCCAGGGTCATGTCCAGTTGGGTTTTGAATACCTCCAAGAATGGAGAACCCACAAATTACCTGCATGGCCAGTCTTGTGCCCCTGCTCAAACACCCTCACAGTAAAAATTGTTTCCTGACATTCAGAGGAAATCTTTGGTTTCAGTTTGTACCCATTGCCTCTGGCCCTGTCACTGGACACCAGCGCATTCTCTTTGCACCCTCCCTTCAGGCATTTATACACACTGATGAGATCCCTCCAAGCTCTCTTTTCTCCAAGATGAACAGTCCAGCTCTCACAGATATATTCCAGTACCTTTCACCATCTCAGTGGCCCTTTGCTGGACTCCATCCAGTAGGTTCATTTCTCTCTTGTACTGGGAAGCACAGAACCAGACAAGAAAAAACCCCAAAACTCTCGAATATTCCTTTCTAACAATTATTTCCTCAGCAGGCATAAGGCAAATTTTTTTCCCCTACAGTTGTGCTGGATCATCCTTTTTGCACATCCAGCCATCCACCTTCTTATCAGGAACCAACCCCACTCAGAGGAACACATCCCTCCCTTTCCCAGGACTGAAGATGCTCATGCCACGCTCTCAGGAGAAGTGCAGTACCCACTACAGAGGTGGGTAAGAGCCCACATGCTGACACGCAGGTGATGGCCTCAAGGAGGCCAAAGTGCGGAGGTCACCTGGTCTTGGCAGCAAAAAGCAGCTGCAGACAAGGGTGCTCAGAGCTAAGCACACCTCTGTCACTGTTCAGGATCATCCCCTGTCAGACTGGCTGATTTTAGCCATATCACTGTTTCAACATCTAACCATGATGTTAAGTCTTCTGGTAGATGGGAGGACCATCAATGCTACATTGCAAGCAAATGCCCACATTCTTTTCCCTTCACTTAAATATTTTCAGCTTAAAAAGACTGAAGTTTGGTGCTCAGATTTCCCCACCTGGGACACAAGTGACTCTGGCAAGCTGCTCAGGCACTGTGTACGTGACCAGAGCCTGCCCCATCACCTGCCTAAGCCCTACAGACACTAATCATTTTAAAGCCGAGAATAGGCACGCAGATGCTCTGCTCTTGTGCTCTTCCCACAAGGAAGCACCAGCTAAGGGAGAAATGAAAATCACCTTTTCTGATGTGTAGAGCAGAGGGAGGCCAGCAATGTCTGGGTGCCCCTTGTCATAGCATGAGGGGGCACTAAAAACTACTCCCCATCAGCAGCCTCAGGGAAAAGGGGCTTGGCTTTATCTGAGAGTGTTTGTGGGTATATGGCACTGCATTGTTTACACCTGTATCAAAACACACCCTCCTCCCATCCTTCAATAATGCAATTCATAAAAATAGCTCAGAATTGTTATTCAGCAAGTAAAATGGAAAAAAAAAGGACCAGGTAACAGACATCCCTTTTCATATGGATCTAGCAGACAGAAGAAACTGAGATTGCTACTCTATAACACAGCAGAAGAAGGCAGGCATTTTAACTCTCCCAGTGTCAAATCCTTCTTGTTTCATTTGGAAAGTAAAAGAATTATTGAATTGGATACATCTGTTTTCCCTTCATATCTCTACAGTACAGCTCTTAAGGGCCAGCAAAGGGACAAATTTTCCTTCCCCCCTCAACTTTACTTGCAGCTTATGTAATTTTCTAAACCCAGAATAGTTTGTCCTGAGACTGCAAGATAAGGAGATGTTTAGCTTAAATCCAGATAACCCTGCAGGTCATTCAGTCAGAAAGAACAGCCAGAAAAATTCTGCAAAATGGTTTTGCATACCCCACATGCAGACATAAGCAACTCTGAAACCATGACTCCTCGGAAGACTGGGGGAGTGGCCACGAGTTTATTGCAGAACAGTCCAAGTCATTCTGAAATGTAGTCTCCTTTGGAATCAGTTCTTCACCTTTGCTTGCACATTACATGTTCAGGAGTAGGCACTGACCAGGGGCAGATCCTCAGCTTGGTGACTCCACTGCTCCATCAGGGTGAGCACAATTCATGCTGGAGTCCCAGACTTGGTGCCACTGCTGTCTCATCAACTGGGCACTAAACAGCAATTTTAAATTCACTTCAGTATGCCTGTTTTTCTGTCACCAGGAGATGCACTCCCTGCACAGCACAAGTCACATCTTTGGCCAAAAGGCCCTGAGCCCAAAGGAACATGGAACACCACAGTCCAGCAAAGCTTTGTACATATTCTCCAGCTGGAATGAAATACGGCAGGCCACTTGCTCATCTTGCATAGCTTTGACAGCCAAGAACACTTCAGTCATCAGGAAACATGCACAAGGTGTAATAAAAAGCATTCCAAGAGGAAACAAGCATCTAGTTTCCAGGAGAGAAAGTGGGAGGACTGAGAAAACAACTTTCAAGCTGGAAAAATAATAGTAGTCTGTGAATTATGTTTGAAAATATGCTTTAAAATATGCTGTCTAGAGGGAAACCAACAAGCTGTACGACCAGGAAATCCAAGGTGGTGTTATTTCAGAGAATGTGACTGCAAAATGCTTCATCACAAGTTATAGGATGTTTAAAAAGAGAATTTTCCCTGAAAATAGACAGCAGTCCTGTGATGTGCACACAGAAGTCCACTCACCGTTCACTGCAGCAGCTCACTGGAGCAGAATTAATGCCATGGACTGAATTAACCATTTGTTTTCCCCTCAGAAGTGAATTGCTGCTGGGCAAACAAAGGAGAAACTTTATTTTCTCTTAGAATTCTCTCTCAAGAGAGAACACAAGGTTTCTCCAGGTAGCAATGTGCTCTGTAGCGGCAAATGTCATGGCCTCCCCACCACAGAGGCAAGAAGGTAAGTCCAAAACAGGGCAAGACTGACCACTACCAATGTGTTGTGTCTCAGCTGCTACAACCACAAGGCCTGCTGAAACAGGAGATGCAGGAAAGCTTTTGGTCTGGACAGCAGTTCTGTTCTCTACACCAGCTTCTTTGAAATGCGTGAGTAATACCACGCTAAAAAGTAACATGGATATAAGGAACGGAGAGTTGGCTCCTCAGAGAAGGTCCCTTTGGAAAAAAGGGCTTTTTTAGTTTATTCACCTTGACAATATCATTTGGGTCAACCCAGGTTTTTAAATACTGTTTATTTTCAAGAGAAACTGTAAAGTATGACAACAGGACAATGGGCATCATTCAGCAATATCAATTTGGGTCTATAGAGAAAATTAATAAAAACCATCAGGATTTTGAAAAATAAATATGACTAACCATATGGAAGACAGGAAAAACAAAATTCATCTTCAACAACACAGACAGGTATAAATGCTGAAATGTTGCTGTGCAAGGTAGAGGTAGAGGTAGAGATAAACCAGACTTTTCAGATCTAGACCAGTTTTAGATCTGCCCCCCTCCATGCACACACTCCCAAAAGTTCCTGTTGCCAATAATATGAATCAGACTGTCATCATCATCAAACTCAAATAAGTCTGTGTGCTCCTGTAATGCTCTGAGCTGGAAAACTATTTCAGTTTTCTGTAGAAATCGGTTGCTGAATAACCTGACCCCTGGTTCTACGACTTGTGCGGCAAAGGAAGAGGCGGGATGATTTTGCAGACAATGAATGCCCTCTGGATGACGCCCACTAGGACAAGTAGATGGTAGAGCCCTTTTAGCATTTGCAACAGTCCATCAGCTCCTCAGTGATGCACCCAGAGATCGTGCCTGGATTTCCTCCTCTGAAGAGAGCATGGTCAGCAGAAATATCCCACACCAACAGGTACTGGCTGCAGGGAGAGCCGATTGCCTTACACAGTCTGTTGACACCGAAAACTCACAGAGGAAGATACAACCCAAGAACCCTCTGTACAAAGCAGCAAGTATCTTGACATGGTGAAATATAAAAACTAAAAATTGCACTGCACACAGATTTTTCCAAACAAACTCAAGACAACCAAAGTCAGATCGTACAAACCGTTAGTTAAAAAAATACCTTCTTGTATATTTTGAGAAGAAGTGGAAAGAGTCTTCGTGCAAATGCTCAGCCTGGATCAAGCAGAGGACATAAAGTTGTTGTAAACACATTAGTTCCTTTCTCATCTGCTGTAAGCACCCAGTGTTATCTATCTTCTGCAGTATAATTAGGGTTAGGAAATCCGTTTCTTCTGTAAATATCACCTTTCAAGTTCCACTGATGTAACATCAAGACACTACTGGTGTCATATCCCATAACTGTTAAACACAATAAAATAAAACATCATGAATAATGGTAAAAGACAATAAAATACAGCAAAAATAAAATATTTTTAAAATTTACACCTTTTTTCTTTAATTAAGAGGGGTTACATGGTTAGAGGTGGATGCAACAAGTCTGAAGAAGTTTGATTTAATTTTCCAGCGCTTATGTCAGAGTGGTGGAGGTTGATGAAATGACATTCTGTATGTCATCAGCTTTCACCTGTATGAGCCAGGTTCATAGATGACCGTAAAAGAAACCAAAAAACTCCCACTATATGACTAACTTCAATGATCAGAACAGTCATAACACATTGTGAGGTATTTGTTTTTTTAAATTACTCAAGCTGTTAAAACTTAGTCATTATTTTAGCTATTTCTCCCAGCTACACTGAGATTTGGCATGTTAAAAAACAGTTGGTCTTCCTCAAGGGAAGCTTCAGTCAGCTTTGTCCCAGCCCCTTCAGGCAATAACTTCACAGACCAAGACCTCCTTGGTCCTTACTGGGCAGAAATCCTAAACCAAATCCCAAGTGAGAAGTGTCTGGGTGGAAGAAGGCAGGCATGACATCCTGCAGCCACACGGGAGAGGGAAGGGAAATGAATTACAGGAGCTAGAGCACATTCCTTGCTCCTACCTTAATAACCTTGTCTGTCCCCGAGGTCAGCAGCCATCCCCTGGTGGCATCGAAGTGTACGTGAACAATGTTGTGCTTACTGTCATGGAAAGTAGCTGTAGGCGCCCGCCTGAAGAAAGAAATCCAAAAATCAGCAAGAACTGTAACTGCAGGATTTCCCCCCAGAAATGTTCTCTATTGAGGAAAAAAGTACTTGACTGCTGCTGTAAGCCATTAATTCAGCAACCACTCTGTAAACTGCACTTTGAGACCTTTCTGGCATGAAAGGAACAGGGGTGGGGGGCTCTCTACCCCTCCTGGCTTGATCTCCTCCTTATCCTGCTGAGAAAGCCCAGGGACTACCATGCCAGGCTGCTTCCTCCTGGATCCTTGCACCCACCCAGGCCCTTTTCTCCCATTGCAGCACAAGGGGGTTCAGTGTCCACACTCACTCCTCATCTGTTATGGACTCGTGGCAGCTGTCGCAGACCCTCACTTCGAACTCGAACCCCATCAGCGGGATGGAGGAGCGCTTGGAGCTGCATTTCCCGCACACGGCTTTCCCACACTTCCGGCAGTGATGCTGTGGGAGACAACATGCAGAAAGACATCTCATGCCACAAACATCACTGCTCAGGTCCACAGGCTCTACCATCTCACTCCAGCAAGACATGATGCAGCTCAGTTCTGCCCCAGACACTTCATTTCTCAAGTTCCATGAGCACATGCAGCATGTTTCAAGCAGACCAGTAAGCCTTTCCCAATACAGCCTGAGCAGTTACAGATGTTTATCCAATCTCATTGAAAACAGCTTTGGTTCTGGCACAATCTCCAAAAATCACCTGTAAATTTCTTTCTGTAGCTTATTTGACTAACAAAGAGCAAAGTTCCACATGGCTAAAGTCATGGAAGGCCCCAAGTCTACTCAGCTCAAGGCCTATTACATGCATTTACTATTGGGATTAATTGGAAAAAGAACAGTGCATTCCTTTCAACCACAAAATTAAGCCACAGAGGGGAACCCACTGTCCCACCCATGAGCACTTAGTGGAAGACCGAAGTGCAAATTCTCAAAGGTTTAGGGGGAAAAAGGTTACCAGAATCCATTATGAGAGAAAAGCCTAATGGCACCATGTTAACACACCAAAGGGCACATACAAACCTGCCTGAGGCCTATTTTCTTACTGTCCCACATTTGCTTGAAGTTCCAGAAGAAAGGCTGGTCACATTTTTGACAGGAGTCACTATCCAGCCACTCTGGGGTCTGCAACACACACACATAAACACAAAGTGGAAGTGAGCAACAAGCAGAAAAATTTCCAATGAAGCCTAGAGGCAGGACAAAAAAGATGTGCTGTGGTGTGGCAATATGGCCAGCTAAGCTTGATTTAGTATCTCCATTTCACAAGATGCCACTTTGACTGTTGTTGATGATGACAATATGATATGTGTTCCCTGGAATCTTTTTTGGCTTAGCTTTGAAGGACATGGGAGGAACAGTTCTCATCCAAATCACAAAGAGTTTGATAATAAGACCATAGAAACAACCCAATTCTGGAATTAAACATATAAAAATATTTTGTTCTGTCCTGTCTGGACAGCATTTACCATCTGCTATTGTCCCTGGTGGGAGCTGGGGTCAATTAGTATTTCTGATAGCCAAGCAACTCATCTGAAGGGAAAGGGAAGTTATGGGAAATGCTGATGTGGTTGGGGTTTTTCATACTCTTTCTTTCTTTAACACCCTAAGAGGAGTTCCTGCTGTCAGAGGTGCCTGTGCTACAAATCACACACAGGGATGAGAAAGATGTGATTCGCCCGGACAAGCCTAAAACCCAAACCAAAGCCAAGCTCTTTTCCCTCATCAACCCATGAGGTTAAATGAACACTAAATACTGTTTAATATTTTGTGAGGAAGTGCTATTAGCAAACTGCAGGTGTCTTGTCAGTCACTGGTTTCTCACATGCTGCAAATTAAAATGGCAAGAAACACAGATGAGATTAGGAACTAAAAACAATAGAAAAGCCAGGCAAAGGTAAGTTAAGGGCAGATGGAGACCCTCAGCTCCCAGGATAGCTTTGACCCCCAGCAATAAAGCAATCACCTGTTCCATATTCTTCTGCCAGTTATTCTGAAGGCATTTCATTCTGCTGGGGAAAATCTTTGTCCTTTCTACCCACAACGGTCTTTCTTTTTAATGCCTACAGATTTACATCTCTGTGTATAACTCTCCATCTCTTGGGCATTTGAACACTATAGATTTTGTTTGTGACAAGTAACAACAACATTTTGTTTGTGACAGCTTATAGCATCTTCCAAACATCTTCTTATAGCTTTTTAAAAATTGAGTTGAAAATAAAGAATCAAGGGCTGAAATGGCTTAAGTGACTCTAACACAATCTCAGTGATGTGGAAGTCTAATAGTAACAAAATGGGTACTGAGCATGTATCATATGGAGAAAAATCCTTAAATAAGGGCAAATATACAAAAGCCAAAATCCAAAAAAAAAGTGATCTAGGACCCAAAGCCAAGGTTTGATATTAAAATCCCAAAGATTCATGTTTTGGGGGTGGTTTAGCATCCTGTTGTGCTGCTGTTAACAAGAACAAGCCCACATAGCCATAATCTGGGAAAGCTGTGCACCATTAGCACCTGCTGCATGGCCTTTATTTAGCTAATAATATTTCTCCTCTATTTTTTAAACCAGCCTTCTCACAGCATTCTTGCTTATTTGGTGATAAGCCAATCTTAACCCTTACTGCAGCCTTTCGAAAGCAGCAAATAAATGAAGCTTTTCATTTCTAGATGTTTGAATTGCAGCAAAAAGGAAACATCTGTTGGGAAGGAGGAAACCGCGCTGCTTTCATTTCAATTTAGGAGCTGATGACATACTTGGACCCTGGATTAGCAATTAAGGCGAGTCAACTGGAATGCTAATTCACATTAAAAAGGGAGCTCAGTTTCTGCCTATGCCTATTTCAGTATTTTTTTTTTAAATCAAGTTTTCCACTTAGCGTTTGTCCTTCCTCAAGGGAGACACACTCAATCCACGCAGGCCACAAATCTTGAGAACTTCAGCACAACTTTCACAGCAAAGCTGGTGAAAGCCCATGTGGCCAAATGCCTTGCTCTGACCTACCCCCTGCAGGAAGAGGGCACAGGTTTGCTGTGACTCATGGCACCAGGATTTGCCAATCTCCTGAGCAGGGCTGGTGCCTGACTCAGCCAGCACAGAGCTCACTCCGCCCTCTATGAGTCAGGACTCAGAAATTGCCAAGCAGGGGCTGCTCCCACAGCGCCAAAGACCTGGGGAACGTTTTTGCACGCGCTCACATTTGTTGGCCATGAAGCACAAAAGCAATTAGGAATGTGTGGGTGAAATCCTACTGTCTGGATCAACAAAGACATCATTTACCCCACTTCTATGTGGTTATACCAGAGGGAAGCAAGACCAAGTGGCAGGTGAGATTGAACCCTTAGTAAAATGACTTCTTATCAAGGAAGAAAAATGCTGGGTTGCACTTTTCCAGAGATGACCAAGAACCTTCTTGTTTTACTCTTTTAAAACCAAAATGAATCAATCAGTCCATCCATTTACATCTGACCTGATATTTCTCATGACGTGCTGAAAAACACAGCAGAGCATCTCAATACCCTCCTTACAGAATATCTTTCAGAGCACTAATGTAATGAGCAAGAGCCATTTAGCAGCCTATTTAATACAAATCTTCTGCCAGGCGATTTCCCCTGTACCATATTATCAAAGGCACAGCATAATTGCTGTATAACAACTGGAGCATGTCCAGAAACATTTTTAAAGCTTGGAATTATCTTGTTTAGATTGAAAGCTGCACATTTTAGAAAGGCCCCTTCTTCCCAGGACTACTTCAGACTAAACTGACAAGAACTAAGCATCTACCTCCTGCCTCTCAACATCCATGTTCCAGACAACGATTCCCCCGTCTGCACCACAGGAGATGAGCTGCCGGGTGTGGTGAGCATAGGAGAGAGACTGAACTTTATCACTGAAAAAGAAACAAGACAGTTAGCAATCAACCACCTATGGCTACTGCACAAGTGAGCACAGAATATCAATAAAGCAGTACAAACCATTTGTTTGCCCATATGTTTCCCTCCACCACTCACTGCACATGGCATCCATCAGATGCAAATCAGTCTTTACTGTCAGACTGGGAGCAGAATGAGAGTGTTGCTCATCTGGGCAGCATCCACAAAAGCAAAGACCTGTTCTGATAACTGTTTTTGCTGCTTCTGGGAAGCCTCAATAGGGTTGCAGCTTCTCAAGGCACATTTGGATGCAAAAACACAGCCCTGGTAAGTTGCCTTCTTGTCAGAATGTCTGTAACAACTTTGTTTTGTAAATCACTGCAACATATAGAAACACATCACTGAGAAACTACTGAAGATCTTTTGACGCTATTCAAAAATAATGTAGGAACCACTAAATTGTTTCTAAGCCTTCTCATAATAAGGTGGAACATTTAGGTGCTTCTGTTTCTTCTTTTAATGAAAAAACAACATGGGAGGAACAATTCAGCGTAAACCCCCAAAGACAGGCTCAGTCCTTAATAAAACAAAGAAATTCAGGCCTCATCTCAGGCTATTTGCAACCTGGGATACAAAGACTGTACAACAGTGTCATGGAAAAAAAAAGGTTGCAAAGACACAGGAACTGAACATAGTGTGACTAGAAATCATCCTCAACATTTGGTTTCCCTTCCTACCACCACTGGTCTTGTCAGCCAAAAGGATTTGCATGCTAACACATTTATCTGTGCCTATGGCTGAACCTGAAGAGGGGAATGCATTCACAGGAGAGTTCAGGACAGCACTGCCACCCTTCACAGTGCCTGCCTCCCAACACCAGAGGCACCATCAGGATGTGTAGGATGCTGTGTTGTACAGTTCCAGCTGACAGCCACCACACAGATTAAGGTCCAGGGGCTAACTTTGTATTAGAACTGATTTCCACAGCAATAAATCAAGCAGTGATGCATTAGCAAGCACCACTGGTAGGGTATGAGGGTGATCTGGGAATTTTAGCTAGAGCTCTGCAGTGCTCTGAAATCCCAGAGGCATCCCAATCATTCAGCAGAGTGCAGCATCACCCAAAAGAAATGCATGAATATGTAAGAAACTGTTAGCTCAAAACCACCATGGGATTTAGTCTCTCCAAACCTGAGCCTGGCATGCAAGTCCCACATATATGCAGTCCCAACACTCTGAAACCAACTTGTTGCATTGCCAGTGTTAAAAAGTGAGGAGTCATTGCCACTAGAGTCATTCTGATGTATAATCAATGCCCAGCACGGGCTTACCCCATCTTCAAAGACATCTACAGCAATGCAAATATACTTGCAAAGATGACGCCTCTTTGCACTGAGGAGATGTGAAGGCTGCAACAGTTAAAGGTCAAAGCACATCACTTAGAATTCAGGCTGTAGGTGAAAGAGCATGGAGGAAAAAGAGATTAATTGTCCAAGCCCGATGCTCCCTCTAGGGGAAGGAAAGACCTTGACACTTAAAAACCGAGAATTTCCCTGGAGCTGTTATCATTTGAGGAGCCTCCTCTTTCCAACAAAGGCACAGGCTCTGGTACAACACATTCAGGAATACAGATGTGCTTTCCTTCACCATCCTCTGTAGACTCTTAAAACAGTCTGTGGGCCCAACACTGGAAAATTTACTATAAGCAAATTATCCCTGTTGTATACAGACTACAGGGAGTCACACATAGAGTCTTGAGGCTTTGTGTAGACTGTAACCTTTGGGCTGTTTGTTTCCAGATGTGGCTTCTGCATTTAGCTTTCCTCCTATAAAAGCAGGAGGAATGGTTTTGAACATACTTATGTCCTTGCAGCTCGATGGCTGTTCCTTTTCTTCCTCCAATATCCCACATTATAATGGAATGATCAGAACTGCCTGAGAATAAAACTCGCTGTATTGGGTCCCAGCAGAGAGCAGTGACACCACCTGCAATAGCAACACACAAAACAATCATTTTATTACAGAAAGTGGAAGATTGGAAGGCAGCTAAATATAAAGATACAACAATAAATATGGAGTGATTAAAATGCAGATCCCTTTGGCAAAGACTATGCAACCATGTGCTTTCCAGCGGAAAAATAACAGTCTAGAAAAACTACTGAAACCCCATCTTGCTCTTCTGTGGGCACAGGGCTTCACTGCTGTTTGCATGGGTGAATCCACTGAGCAGTAAATTTTGAAAGAAGAATGGTCACAGTGGGAGCTACACAACTTTCCACCTTCTTCATTTCCAGAAGATTAAAAAAAGAAGCAAGTGTGGAATGCCATGGGCATCTTCTCAGTATCCTAGCACATGGACTCAACTACATTGTGCTATCTTGAGCTATCAGCACTTAGTTAGAGAGGAGGGATATGAAGAAAAAATGTTGAGGAATGACACAATTTCTTCTGTTAGATGGTAGGATCATATCCAGGGTTGATCCTTTCAAAGGGTGATGGGGCACAAGTCCCAGCAGTGAAACAAGCATTTAGTGCCTCCAAGTGGTGCCTATTCCACTTGGAATAGGCAGGTGTCTACCAATACACATCTTGCCTTTAGCAGCATCCTTTTTTCTCTCCCAGAACTACCACAATTCGTTCAAATCTCACTGCTTTAATTAGCAGCAACTAATTGTGGCATTTTCTGCCACAGGTGTGTTCTGCTCAGAGATCTGATCACTCTTCTTTTTACCAATAGAGCTTCCCTGAACTGCTGGGACACTTGAAGAGCTATGTCCCTTCCACTGTAAGCATAAGCACAAGCCATCCTAGTGTATCACAGGGCAGTCCAACCACTGTGATGCTGAGCACAGATGACCCTCCTGAGCATTTTTCTGGGTCTCCTTCTGAGGCCTTACCTGTGTGTCCCTTAAATGTGGTAACAAGGCTGCAGGACTCTTGCTCTAGTTTCAGGATAGTGACTTGCCCAGAATGGTCGCCAACAAACACATGCCGGGTTTCCACATCAAATCTGAAGGATAGATGCTGAGGAAAACTTATTATTTACACAAGCTTTGCATTCCTTTCATGACTTGCTAGTTCTTTTGACATGAGTATACTGCAATCTTGTGAATAGTGCTCCAGTCTCAAGGAGGTATTAGAGTTTACTTTTAGGCACCTGTTCATCTTAATAATGCTAATACCTGTTCATACTAATAGCGCAGTATTCCTGGGTGAGAAAAAACAAGATTATTCCAGGACATAATTTGTGGTTTTGTTATGAAAGACCATTGAAGTAGCCCTTAGTCATGAACATAAGAGTTGTCTCCTCAGGCTTTGTAACTTAAGTGCTAGAGTTGGATGGTATGCACTCTCTCCCTTTCAAAAGTTATACAAAATACAAAGGGGTCCTGATTTTAAGCACACAGAACACTGCAGAACAAAAAAAACAACAAACCTGTTCCTGGTTAAGCCAAATATTTTTGCAGTATTTGCCAGTGATTCTCCCTTCCACTGCCCTCCACCATCATAATCAGATGACCCAAATTAAATTGTCCTCCTAAAGGTTTTATCAGTGAAAATTGGCTGTTCTCTAGAGAGATTTAGGGAACAACCAGATTCTTGCATCATGCTTTAATAAATATTTATCAATGAATTAAGAAGTCTTTCTGCCATTTAGATTGACTGAATTACCAGATAATATAAAACAAGTCCATCTTGAAACAATAATTTTGAGTCAGTATCACTTCTCATGAACTAGCAAAGCATGCATCATCTATACCACAAACACTCTGGGGATTAAAAGGTCTATTTATGCTAACCTCTGTTTTCAGCCTAAGAGCTCCTACTTTTCCTTTTCCCTTTTCATTTGCAATAAAGCTGAATTAATATTTCTTTTATTGTCAGGCAGCTGGGGCAGCTCTATGTGAATAAGCCACCTGAGTGCCATTTCTGGAATCATTTACTCTTTAGTTAACCCAAACTCCCAATACATAGTGAGCAGTTCCAGAGTGAAGGACAAGTGCTCGTTATTTTTTATCAAAGTAATTTAATTTTTACCATGCATACACACAGGCACTCTGACCTGACCACCAACCTATTTTTGCTACCATTAATTCTCTGAAGAAAGCATGCACTGCATGTTTAACTGAAGGCTCTACCCGTATTTATTACAACAGCAGACCACAATAGGTTGTGGATCGCCCATTGTGGTGCTCAAAAATGCTTAGACCTAAATATGCCACAACACATTAAGGAGACAAAGCAAGAAGAACTGACAGTTTTTAAAATTGGCTTTAAATAACAGTTTCTCTCACAAAGCACTGAATACATACAGGGCACAAAATTCGGAGGACAACTAGACAAACAAACTAAAAAGACTGAGTGCCAAAGAGCAGAAATAGAACCGAGAGCTCAGCAAAGGATACTGCAGGCCGCAGGCGCCCGCGCTGGTGCGGTACCCCCCCAGCCGCTGGCCACTCTCCGAGCAGTGCCACGTGAAGTGTTTGTCTTGTCCGGTGCTCAGCACCCACTCCATCTCCAGGACAAACAGAATCATGATGACCCTGCTTTGATGAGCTGAAAATTAAGCAGACAGACCTATAATCACACTTTGCAGAGAAGAACATGGGGGCAGACAACCATTGCAAATACCAACTGCACCCAACTCCTCCACTCACACTTCCCTACAGAAGCAGCTGGTGTTTAATAATCCTGTTGACATCAGCTTCCATGGAAGCTTGTAAGGTCCCTGCTCTGCATGTTCAGCATTTGCATGAGAAAGAGTGGAAGCAAGACTTAATTTCTTCAATGCCTATTGCAGCCATTTATCTTCTACAGCAGCAAACGTCTTCCCTCCATCATTGTATCATCACTAACAAGGCTGCCACCTGTAATGGACTTGGGGCTCCATTTAAACCTCTTTTCAGCTACTTTTTGACAGTAGTCAAAAATGAAAATGCCTACACTGCTGCTCCTCTTGCTGTTAAGTTTTGGTGGATCTGGGCTGTGGTAACCCAGCAGAACAATGAGTTACAGCACAGGCACAATGCTGCACCAAAGGGAAGTTTCAGCATTAAAAGGTTACTGGAATAAAAATTAAATAAAAGAAAATATCACAGCTGTGGTAGATGAATGGAACATCTGAAGGAATAAATTTCTACCGCTACAAAAACAAAGCTATCAAAAGGTTTTCATTAAAACAGGGGGATGCATGCTTGTTTTTTGTATGAATGACCAGTGGGCTTAATCATGAAGTGCTGATTGAGTCGCTATTCTAATAAAACAAGTGGCTGGAAAGACATACAGAACTATTCCCAGCTGTAACCTAATGGTGAATGCCACACTCCTCAATCTACAGCCCTAATGGTTTATTGCTGTTCTAAGATGCAGCAATATGTGTCACACGAATTAGACTGCTGGTATTTGTTTGTATAAAAACTGGCACAAAAAGATTGAATATGCTTAGAAGCCTAAAAACCAGCCCCAAGCCTCTATCTGAAATGCAGAGAATTTCTTCAGAACAGTATGGGAAGACTGTTGTCTGTCCTAGACAAATGTGCAGCATGTATGAGAGCTGTGTTCAAACCCCACAGGGGGGAACTACCTGTAGGAAAGAAGAGGAGGCTCCCAAGGGACAACACCAGCCCTGATCCACACTGCTTTTTCAGACTGAGATTGCCTGAGCAGAAAAGTCAATAGATTTATTGACACAACTTGCCATAACAGTGATAGGCAGCTGAACCAAAGTGTCAGGTGTCAACTGTGCCCAGATGATTTCACCCTTGCCATTAGAAGAGCTCAGATTTTGGCTTTTCCATTCACTTTTACATTCCAGGTAGAAGGATGGGGACCATCAAGGAGTCACTTGAACTCTTTCATATAGATCCCATCTCCTCTCTACCCTTGCTTTCTCTGGGAAGAAATTCAGTAGCCCCATGCTTATCTTTAGCCATCTGTTGTTCTCTCTGGGAACAGCTGCACCAGCCAGTTGAGTGCTGCACTTTGGGACACGACTGCTGCCACACACACCTCACAGGCTCACAAACATGCTCCAGGAGCTTGTGTGAACCATTAGTGCCACACACACACACATGCATTTCCACAGGATGTGCAAAGCTGGCTGAGATCAGACTGCTCAAGGCCTATCCAGAAATGTTTTCTCAGCATGTCGCAAATGCTACTGCTAGCGACAGCTTCTGATGGTTTGAACTGGTGGTGAGGATAGCTGGTACCACCCAACTCTCATAAACCTCCTTCTACCTCCTAAAACTTCTCAAAGACAGGGCTTGTAATTTTTGGCTGAAGTACTACCTGTGCATGCTGAGGCAGCTCTTTCTGGCAAGTAAGGAGTAGACATTAAAAAATGGTACTTGCCAAGAGGTGGATGGGGTGTACATGACAGCTTCGCTTATCTTCCCTCCCCAAAAAGAGCTTTCAACTCAGCACTCTGTTGTCCACATGCACATATTAGCTGGTGCCACCACACACATGCTGATGGCAGATATATCTGAAACAAGTGCAAGTGCACAGGGTAGATCATCTAAGCAAAGGAGCAAAGAGAAGACAAATGTAATCAGGAAGTCACTTGTCCTTAAGAGGGAATTTGACTCATGTAAAGCTTAAAGAACCAAATATCAGAAGATTGGAAGCTGACAGAAGAGCAAGGAAGGGATCTGGGCCCTAGGATTAACACAGGTTCATCGTCTTGAAGCAGCAAAAAGCTGGTCCTTCATTAACTGAAGATTTGATCACCATTTGTATGCAGAAAATTGTGGAGCAAGCAATTCCAAAGCTGCTTATTTGTAACAACAGCAGGATGGAGATGAGATGGAGTGTGAATGTGGTCACAGCAGAGGAGAACTCTAAACAGGCACCAGGCAAGAGCAGATATGTGTAAACCAGAATGAGAAGAGAGCCATTTGTGGGGAAAGATCATGCTGTAAAGAAGAGAGAGAAGCAGCAGAGAAGGAGAAGGGCACAGGTCCATGTGCAGCTGGAGGGTGGGAGGGAGCAGGGTAGCTGTTCTGCTCTACAAGACAGCAGCAGTGAGCACTATGCAAAGAGCAGGTTGGAGGGAGGATGGAAAGGCTGTGCCCAGAGAAGAGAAACTGCAGCTGGGAGCTGCAGCTGGGAGGTGCACAGCAAGATGTCAGCAAAGGAAATGGAGGGCCAGTGCTGTGTATAAAGGCAAAAGTCTGAGAAGCATGGTCAGTACACAGTCACACAGTGATGGGCAAGAAGCTGTTCTGAGGGGTTACAACAGCAAAAACTATCAGCAAACACCAAAACAGAGATGGAAATTGCCAGGCAGAAAAAAAGCTTAGCACAAGCAAGAAAAGCACAAGTGAAGAGGCTGTGCTTAGGCGAAAGCAGAAGTAAGGGCATGACATGAGCTGGCCTGAAAGCAGAGGGTCAGGGTGACACCCTGGAAACAGGCAGGCTGCACAAAGCATGGGGCAGAAACAGGTCTATAAATCTGGCTAGGCAGAAAAAGCGTGTGTCAAACAAACAAACAAAAACCACAAAACACTAAAGCAGTAGTTGTTATCTCATCCAGAGGAAGCACAGCAAGATGGTTCAGGTGCAAGAAGCAGTGTAGAGAAGGCCATAAAGAATGGGAAGCAGCAACAGCCATATGGACCAGCCTGTGAGGGGCTGAATGGGGCTGGAAGCCACAGCTGCTGAAAGAAGGGAAAGGTTTCTTGCAGGAATGTGGGAGGAGTTGCCCAGGGAGAGAGCAGAGATTGTCTACACCTTCAGATGGTGCTGTGACTGAAGAAGAGGGGATGATGATATGAGAGACAGACACACAATGAAAAAATTAATTTCCCAGAGCATCCCAAATGGCGCTGATCAAATGCTTGCACTACTCCTCCTTATGCAAGGGAATGAGTCAGCGCCTGCAGGAGGCCAATGCCACAAGACCCACCCTGGAGTCCTGACTAATCCTGTGTCACATCCCCCATCACTGCATTCAGATCCCTTCCAAGAAATAAGATTTCACAACTGCACAGTGCTGCAGCAAAACCTTCACAGAGCATGTCCAGCCATGTACACCAGCAAGGCCAGGCTCCATAAGCCACCAGACCTGGCTGCACACCCCAACCAAGACCAAAGTCTTATTATTCACAGCTTATCTACCAGCTGTCATTCTGTCACCAGATCATTTGACCAGCATGAATCAGCATGATTCAACTAAAGCCACTTAGTAGGGTAAATAAAATTATTTACTCCCCCTAAAACACTTTTGAAGAATATAAAGGTCTTACTTGAAAACTTTAAGTAAATTTTTTTAAAACTGAGACTTTTAAAACAAATGAACCACTAGAAGGCCACCATACCAAACAAAACCACCTGTTCCTTTTTAATTTTTCCTTGCCCAGGGTTTTACCAAGATGCTTATGCCAACTCCAAAACTCAGTATGGCCACATGAGGAAGGTGCACTGCAGGCATAGGGTTGTGGAGGGAGTCCTACTGGACCATGTGAGGAAGGTCCATCTCTGTTGGATCTTGATATACCTACCCAAGGGACTACAATGCTCTTTCCTGCATAGTTTCCCAGACACTGTGTTGAAAATGTGGCTATTTCCTCCTTGCTGTGTCTCAGCTGGACTTTGGACCAAGTAAGGCTGCTGGTAAGCCCAGATCCAGTGCTCTGCTTGGAGGCAAACTTAGCATGAGGAGCATGAAAGTACCTAACACTGTGTGGACCAATAGCACTACAGGACTGTACCCTGTGACTGACAGCTGCTCACAGAGCACTTCACTTTTGCAAGGTTTCCTCAGCACTCCAGACCTCCAGCATGGGTCCAAGCCAAGCCCAGGGACCAGGCAGAGGGGGCACTACATTCCTTCACCAGCAACTGATGTGAGGAGTGGAGAAGCCAGGAGCATGTCTTTTTGGAGGGGGGTGGTGGGAGGCACTCTGCTGTGGAGCAGAGTCATTGGTGCCCTGAAAACAGTGGGGAATCTCTTTGGGTTTCTTTTCTTTTTCCTGCCTTGCACTGTCAGAAAACTGTCCACTGCAATTGTGCGGGTGTGTGCAGTGAGGCACTGGCACAGGCTGCCCAGAGAAGCTGTGGGTGTTCCATCCCTGGAAGTGTTCAAGGCCAGACTGGATGGGGCTCTGAGAACCTGGTCTAGTGGACGGTGTCCTGCCCTTCAGGCAGGGGGGTTGGAACTTACCAATCTTTATGGTCCCTTCCAACCCAAGCCATTCTATGATCCTATGAAAAACCTTCCCATGGTGAGACAGGCAGGCTAGGAAGGAAGGTGACTCTAGTTAGGAGTGTGGTGAGCTGCGCCACCTCTCCATTGTTGTTAGTGGACACTCAGAATCCTTTGCTCTCCAATATTTGGGGAATCTGAGCTCTTGGGTTTCCCCTCAGGACAGCCCATGACATCTTCCTATCCAAAGGTGTCCTCTAATGTTTGCAACATATCTGGCACACTGCAGAAAGCCGTAAGAACAGCGTTCATTTTCCTCCTTTTTTAATTTTTTGAGTTTTCCCCAGATCTTCAGTGGGCTATCACAGCCAACTGGCTTTTCTGAAATACTGCCAAGAAATCCATTCCTCTCTTCTAAAATTTTCAGCATTTTCCCTGAAGAACTCATCAAGAAAGTCGTTCTCATGCATATGCTGTTCTGCATCCACAGAAGAAAAAACCTCAGCTCACCCTCTTTAGTGCCACGACATTTAAATATGAAACTTAGCCGCATTAAACTTTGGTGACTGCAGAGCAATCACAAATTTGGATACTTAACACTTGTACAGTCAGACTGCAGCAATCTTATTTAAGATTCACATATATATATATATATATATATATTATCATCATTGTATATTTTTCTTCAGTTTTTATAAGCTAAGAAAAAAAGCAGGCATTCTAGCTTAATTTTACAACACACCAGACATTCATGAAACACTCACATGTTAGCCATGCTCTGCAAAAATCAAGATTCTCTTCATACCTTAAAATTGAAATGTTACAAAGTGATCCCCAGAGCCTTCATTTAGAGATTTAAATTACACTCAATCTTTCAAGGTATAAAACTAAAAATATATGAGTAAGGACATCTTTTAAAATGTATGTGAGAAATGTCAAGCTAACATGTCCGAGGCTTCTATACAGAAACATAATGCTTAGTATATAACATATGACACCACGTAATATCATACCACCTCCTAGTCCAACAGAAAAAAATATATAATAAATTGTCACATGTATTTGTTTCTTTTATAAGAATATCTGTCCAAAACAATGTCCTTTAGAGGTTTGAAAAGGATGAATAGCTAGGTTTCTGAAAACATCACATTAGTGAGCACCAGACTCTAATTAGAAAAGGTATGGATTGGCATTTCTTGACCTTTTACTAGGAGAGGTATTCACTGATAATCTTGTGGTTACTGGAACTGACAGTTACTGAAATACAACCAGACTAACCCCAAAAGCTTCAGCCTTCAAAGATGGGTTAGTTTCTTAAGTTGTTTCAGTAGATACATTGGATTACAGAAGACTGAAAATTAAAACTCCTATTCCCCAGACATGGACAGTTTGTTGTCTACTGTGATATTCCAAAGGAACATTTAAAAGGAAAAACAGAACATGAAACAGCTCTTTTAAAAATCTTGTTATCTCAGAATAAAGCACATTATAGATCTATTGATAAAACCAGCATTTACATTAGTTAAAAAAAAAATTCTGTCATTGTAAGGGAAACTTTTCTATTCATAGTCCAAAAGAAAACATTAACAAGAATTAATGACAATACAAGCCAATTAACATGGATTGTGTTTCTTACCCTGGTAACTTTTCACTAGTGTCATCTTGTTGTAATCTTCTGATAAAATGAATTCCTGAGGGAGGGAAGGAAAAAGCAAAAGAATCAGGGCTTAGAGATGTGAAGTGTTTGAGACTGTTTACATTTGAATACTTTACCTAGGTAAGTTCTCCCTTCTTCATAACCACAGCCCTATATATACTTTTAATAATTTTGAGTACCCAAAAAATCTAAATTCTTTCACTTTTTAAAGCTGCCTAAGACAACATGGTGAGTGCTTCTGAATGGAATAAATAAAAAGGAACCATTAAAAAAGAGCTGACAGAAATGACTGGCTGTGAGCTGAGTATATATGTAAGAGACCCTCCAAATTGCTCAGTCCAGACTAGGTACCGACAATACGTGATGGGAATGGAATGCATTTCAGGTTTCTGTTGAAAAGCCTCTCAGTGCTTCAGACAAACAGAAACCCAAATTCTTCTGTGTCCAGGCAAGAGCACACCTATAGGGACAGGCTCTATTGTCTTGGTGTCATTGCTGTTCAATTTCCAGTATGGCTTTTGCATGGGGAAATGTTGATCATGGCAGCTAAGAGTCTGCATGGCAGCCTTGGCTCCTGCAGAAGTCTGAGGTGATTAAACTCACTGACCACCCATGTGTTCCTGCAGATTGTTTTGAAGAGGAGAGTTACTCAAAACTGGGGAAACAGAATGGCCACAACCAAATGCCTACAACATCTCTCTGAAGGAAACACCCAAGCAAAGGGTTTTTGGCAGCACCAAATGAATTAGCTTTCAGAGAGCTGTCAGGTATCTATGTACATATATCAGATACTCAGAGAAACATAAAATAAAAAATGAAGGAGTGTAAAACCACATTATTTTAATAATTTTTAGCAAACTATAAAGAAACTCTCTGTGCTAATCTGCCTAGAGGACAGAAGAAGTAAAACAACTCATTTAACTCATCCTGAAATAGGATGGAAAACTAAAATAAACATTACAAATGCAAGATAAGTGAATTTGATAAACATATAGTTGTAAAATGTTCTTGTGCGTATGCCAAAAGCACTGGAGAACTCTGGACTTCAGAAGCCTACAATGTTTAAGGGAAACCAAATGTTTAATGCAAAAGAGCAAAGGACATTCTAACCCCCAACAAGCCAGTGTTTCTCCCCAGTTTCCGAACCACAATTTAAAAACAAGTCACTCTGCATTTTCTGTTGGGTCACTGCAGGTAATCTGTCTGGCCTTCAGCACCAGAATTAACCAAACATCTACTGCTTGGCACCAAGGTGGAGAGGTTACAGTACTCATCTGTGGAACATCTGCACATCCCAGCTTCCAGAAAAACAACTGTGAGTGATTTGAGGCAGCTATGTATTCAGCTCTCTCTATGTTTCCACTCATAAATTTGTTAAAAATATGTTCTCTTAAATTGCTCTACTTCATCTTCCTTTCCTTAATCTGCTCCAGCTCCCGGTAGGTTTCCCTGGCAGCTGAGCACTACAGTGGGGAGCATTACTTAAACAGCAGTAACAAATAAATTAAGTCATCTGGATTTCTATACCAGGGTCACCTTACCTCTACAGACCACAGAAAGTTAAAAATCTGCTATACCTTTCCAGCTACTAACACGGGAACTTGTTTTTGTTGACCACAACCTGAAGAATACTATAACATGAAATGCTTCACTACAAAGCCTATTTGAAGCAGGACCCTTTGCTAGAATCCTTTCTTCTACTGTTACCTAAAGAGAAATTGCTCTAATTGCTGCAACACGTGATGGGAAGATATGTCTGCCTTTCCCACCAATTTGGCTGTCCTTGTCTCTGACTGCAGTGGCACACAGATGCTGGTGACTTCAGGTGGGATGTAGAGAGTGGATTGCATTGTCACTTTTAGTTGCATTTTTATTTTAACAAATTTGATGCAGCCATTCTGTTTTGTGACCCAAAGAGCTCCACAGTTTCAGTGGAAGACTGAAAAGGCTTTTTAATATCTCCATTCTAACACAATAAATCAAACACGTGTGGTTTGTAAGCTGCATCCAAGTATTGATCACCACTGTATTCTTTAATATAAGCCACAGCTATGTACTATCAATACACTGCTCCATCCAAAATAAAAAACAAATATGGTACAAGATAAACACAATTTCAGTTAACCTAAATAATGGATTTTTTTTTTTTTCCCCCTCAAGACTTCTTGCATATCACTGTCTTCTTGAAAGGATATGGTAATTTGTGACGCATTTTCTAATCTTTCTGTAGGTCTCCCCACTTCCCTTTACACTCTCGTGTTCTTCCACTGCACTTATTGCCCTCTCCCTCTTCAAGCCAAATGCATTAGTTGCGTCACTAGACAGGTATTTTAGCACAGGGCACCTTGCTCATGAAATTCATGCCCTATTGCACATACAATGTGTCATCTGCACTACAAAAACATCAACTACATCTCTTTAACATTGTACCAGCAGAGGCTGGTTTTTTATCCTTGCCTACGTCGATGTTTTGCTCCTCTCAGAGCTGCTGACGCTCAGCTCTCATTAGGCAGCTTCTGGCTCTTCTTAATGAGCTGGAAAAGCTGGGGTCACCTACACAGCTCAGTCAGTGCTTGTTAACAGAACAGAGAAAGATTTCTGAGTCCTGTGTAAGCCCTTTTGCACAGAAGGGGCTGGGACACATCAGAGAACTCAGGATGGTAAAACCAAACACCCTCCTTGCAGGGATTAAAAACAACTTCTCTGGCAAGATCACACTTTATCCTTCAGAGGTGGTTTTGGAGCTACTTTACTACTTTTTTGTCATACTTAAAACATTAATGCTCAGGCTTGCCTGTTTCAGGCAAGCTTATTATTAAACAGTGACTTGGTACCATGCGTACTTCACAAAGTGCAAAGGAGAATTCTTAAAAACTGTCAAAATCTAGCTGTCCACTGGTGTACAAAGACTCCCAACTATTCCTTTGTGTATCACACCTCTCTCACACCAAAACACATACACCCACCACAAACTTCTCTTGAGCAAAAGACTTCTGTAAAACCTCATCCGAGAAATAGTATCAGCATCTTGTTTAAACAATTCAGAGTCCTTGGCCATGGGGCTGGGTGACAGGGTCCAGCAACTAGGGAAGATCCATGCCTTCCCAGAGCTTCAGGTGTATGTCAATTGATGTACTGCAAAATGGAGAACTCTCCTTAAGCAACTGAATCCATTTCTGAATTAATAATCTTTATATATTAGTTATGTGTTACCCATGCACAGGCTAGTTCCTGCCCTGGGGAATTTGCAGTCTGCTCTTTGATAAACGATACCATTTTCATAACATCTATGAATCTCCCTATAGGCTTGACTTTATCCTGCTAACACAAGTGACTGACTGCACTCTCAGGTTTTCCAGGGAACAACAAACCTGCTTCAGAAATGGAAGACAACGAAAACTCTTAAATCTTCTGTCAGACACTACACCTATATCTATTGGGAAAAACCCCAAACCTCTATAAATAATGACAGCATTTTCACTTTATTTATTATATCATTTCATTTCTTGAGGTAAAAAATACTAAACTCTCCACAACAGAGCAGAGGGGAAGGCTGTACATCAACAGGTAGAGCCTGACTCAGTCTCAGGTATTCAAAATACTGTTAATACAAATGTCAAACTTGTAGACAGCTGCAAGATCAGATGAGGCGGAAGATGAATTTATCTTAAGTACCATCCCCAAGGAAGAATCCTGAAGGGGTGATTCTGGCGCTCTGTTGTCCTTGTGGCTCTGCTCAAATATATAACAGCTTCGTATAGACTTAGTCATGGTCAGCAAAAAAAATATTTATTTATTTCATCTTCATCTACTGAAAAACTAAATCTCTCATTTCAATCTCCCCAGATATGAAGAGAGAAATTTATGCCATTTCATAATGGTTTCTAGAAAAAGCAACATGGGTGCGTCCAAAGACAAATCATCTTTCCTTTACTGGCTGCAGAACCTAATGCTTAACTTTATCTATCTAGGAAATGAGTTTTCATATGGATGAAATGAAGTAAGAAGTCTCATCTTATCAGTGGTCTCCTGTTTACTGCAAGTGGAACACCTTTCTTCTGTTTCTTGTGGTATCTTAAGAGCCCTGCAGCCATTAGAGTATGTTTTTTTCCACTTCTGAGCAAGGAATTCATGTCCAGACTTTTGGCTTCCAAAAGGGATTAAGTAGTCCTTAAGATGTCATTCCTTCTCAAAAAAGGTTTGCAAAGTGTAAAAAAAGCAGATTGCAGAAAGTCTGGTTTTTTTACAGTAGGTTCCATCACTCTTGAAGCAAGATGCCAGACAATCTGTACTCAAGATAAGGTTGTGCTGTGCTGCACAAATGTTTGTGCAGCCCTCATGCTGAGAAGTGACAAAAGGTTAAAAACAATCTCTTCCTCTTTGTAGGAACAAAAGTTGCTGCCTTGTTTCACAAAAGAGCTCACCTCATACAAGCTCACCTCTGTGCCAATAGCGTTGCTGCCCATCCTTCCCCAAATGCAGCGTACGCATTCCCAAAGTGCCATGCTTATAACCAAAATCCGTATGGCTTACAAAAATTCCACATAGAATAAAAAAAGACACTTCCAGTTCCTTATCTCCATTTACACCTGAAAGTACTTCCTTGCTTTGTAGAAAAAATCATTTGAGATGATGTGTCACTCATGACTATCAGCTCATAGCCCTTACAAGGAATCCTTTCTTTCTACTCAATGTGAAGGTGCAGAATAATTGTCAAGGTTTTACTGGTATAGTTGGATGGTTTTTTGTTTGGGGTTTTTTTTGGCCCTGCACCCAGCATACACAAGTGTGCTGGGCATTACAGAAGTGCTAATGTGGAGCAGCTGACTAATTCCCAAATATTTCAAGCTGCTCAAGCAAATTGCCTGTACTTTTCCCTTTGAGGAAATTAAAATAAGGGTACTAAGGTCACCCTGCTGCAGTAAATTCTGTTATTTTGTGGTCAGTGTGCCCTGCTTATGTATTCCTGTGCTAAACTAATCATCATAGCTGGGCCCAGGAAAGAAAATTTATCTTTTCCACTAGAGGGTGGTTGTAACCCATGTTCAAAAGCACCTGGGGATGTTCTTTACACCAAAATATTTCTGGGATTTGAAAATGGGGTTCCCCTTGCTCATCCATTCCCACCTCCACCACTTCTTGCAGCACATTACAGTTGTGGCTTCTCTTACAAGTCCTCGGTCTGCTACAGATGAAAACATTTCATCCTTTGTACAAATCTGTGGAGTGCATTTTCCCCTACCACACAAGTGCTTGCAGCTACAGAGGACTAAATCAAGCAACACAGACAAGCACCTCCCCCTTCCTATATATTTGTATCCAGAAGACTGGGAAAAGAAAAACCCAGCTTAGCAACAAATAGAATCTGCCTTAGACGTGGCAATATAAACCTATAAATATCTGAAGTCACATGTAGGTTTATCACCTGCATATCTCATTTACCTTTTTTAGCTTCAGAATGGAAAATATTTGACCCCATTTACTCTTAATCATCCTCTGACTCTTCAAAACAAAATGCCCCCAAGACAAAGGACACATCTCTAATCATGCCAGAGTATTTAAATACCTTATTTACAGTTGCCTTCACATTCCTCAAAGGCCTGGTGAAAACAAAAGTGCCTAGCAGGATTGGCAAATTTCAGCTATTTCAGAGTGGGAAGGAGAGAATTTCAGAGGTGCAGAGAATTCTCTGGAATCTGTCCCATCTCCCAGACACAAAAGGAAAAATCTCCTACAGGCACACAAAAAGTCTCTGCTACTAGGCATTAATAGCTTTATAGGTCAAAACCTTCACATCTTTGATGGAGCTTACAGGCAACAACTAAAAGGGTCACATCCCCTTTCCCAAACACCATTCTGGCTTTAGTGCAGACAGCTGCCCTTACATCAGCTTGAAAACACTCATTCAGTTAGAAAGCCCCTAAGGCAAGATAACAGCAGAAAAATCTGAAGTGATGGTAAACTGATCTTAAACTGAAAGAGGAATCTATTGACAAGGCATAGGTGAAAAATATCTCTGACCCATGATTCTTCCACTCTTCCAAAGTGATAGAGCTTTTTATTCATCATCCCACAAGAAAAATCCAATTAATAAGGTCAACTGCTACCCTCTATCATAGATCTAACAGACACACTCCTCTTTTAATATCCTACTTCCTTTCCACACATCTCTATCTCAGATGTTAATGAACCAAATCTCTCAGCAAACACCCTGCCAATTAGAAGCAACTCCTCTAGAAGGGAGAGAAAAACAAAATCTGAACTCTGAAGTTTGGAAAAATAGATAGACATGGAGCAGAAATCCACCTTCTGCCTCTAAAATGATTTTTCCTCCTCTTAATTGCTGCTTTCAGAAAACTTTGGTACCATGCAATTAACAAGTCACTTAAATTTAATAAAACAACAGCTGTTTTTCTGTGTTATTTTTTAAGAGATATGCAAATTAAGACAGATTGTTGACTTGCTTAATAAATACTGTAAATCCCACTCAAACTCTTTGTGGCAGCTGGAATAAGATTTTTAATAATCTAACATTTTCTGCACTACAGATTTAGTTCCACTCTCATTAAAAAGTCTGTCTCCCAAACACTACCAAAAATATTCTCACCACATCATCACATACATACTTCTCAAAATGGAAGCATTTCAACTAGAAATCTTTGGATGTACTTACTGAGATTGTACCATTGTCTAGACCTATGGACAGCCTTCTGGTTTCCGGGTTAAAAGACATGCATGAACATGGAGCTGAAAAAAATTAACATGTTGATGAAGTTAACAAAACTGAGATTCTCATTTTCTTGAAGTTCTGGAAAGCCAAAAATTAGCTAACATGCTTTATTATGCTGTGCAGCATTTTGAGCTTACCACTAGACAAGCATTAAAATGAAAGTGTTCTTGCAATTCATTCAACCCTATCCTATTAGGGCATGGAAAAATAGCCATTTATTGTTCCAGTTGCTTCTTTTTATTTTTTTTTTTTATTTTTTTACTATTTATCTGTAAACAAGCCTTTCATATAAGATCAAGGGTGCTGTTCTGATATAAGAGATATTTGACATTTCAGTGTAAGTCATACATTACTTAGCTAAATAATTTAGTTTTTTACATTTGCCTGAACTGCTGACAATAAAACAAAACACTACATTATGTCAGAGGCTTGCAGTAAGAAAATTCCCCAGTAGGAATCAATGCATCAACTAACATTAAAGACTGAGTTAAACTGTCCCCTACTCCAATTCCATCACAGACAGCACTATGATCAATATCACATACTATGGTCAAAATAAAAGTTTGTATCTAAAAACAGCCATTGCTTGATTATGTTGATATCACTCTAACAAATATCCAGATTTATCCTGAAATTGCACACAAGATGGTCACAGTATGCTCCCTCAAAGATCTGGCAGGTTTGTACCAAGGGTAAAACCAGGTTTCCCCACAAGAATTCAAGAGCTATGCTTGGTTTAATTGAAAAATTGTGAAGTTACATTCTGAAAGCAGGAACTGCTTTTACTGCCCAACACAGCAGCATGCAGCTGGGAATCCTGCTGTCCCAATAGAAACCTTCAGGAATTATTTTTCAGAAGCAATTGCCAACTGCAGCTAGGATAACAATAAAAGTGCTTTATAAACCATATTCTTATGATAAATATAGAGTACAGTCAGATGCACTTTTAGTTCTGCTTTTTTCCCCCCTCTTAGTTCCTACTCTTTGTTGTGATTGCTCCCATGTTTGTGTCACTAACAAGCTTGGAGTCCTCTCTTTTTCAGTACTGTAATCAAGTATCTTCTCAATTTGTGTAATGTCTCTCTTAGGACTAAACAGCCCATAGCTTAGCAAATCTTTTAATCCTCGATAGTTTAATTGGCAGCAAAGCTATATGAAGAAGAAGAGTCAATGCTGACTCTTTAATAAAACTTGTTCCACCTTCAGTATTGACTCCCTATTGAAATGTTTCCTGAAGGACACGTAACCATAAACAGAAAGCCCATCAGATCCACATTCAGGCAGGCACCTCAGTTTATTTCTCTCCTGGAAGGGCTGACTGAGTCGAATCAATGAAAAGGCTTCAGCTGAAGGAAACTGATAAAAAGGAAACAATTAAATCAGGCCTTGTAACAGTGACAAAACTTCTCCTTCCTGTACCTCTCCCTGGTACAAACTGGAACCATCCCTTCCAAAGGCGGCGCATTACTATTATACTGAAGCTTCTATGCCTGTAGCAGAGTAAGAGTTGCAGAAAAAAATGGACAGAAACCTCTCCAATTCAAAACCTAATAAACATCAAATGAGTTTAAAAGCACTTAATGCCAGAACAGGCATATTACACAGCACATTTTAAATGCTGGACAGTATCTCTAAAGGCAATGAGCAGCTCACAAAGAAGTCATCTCAGGTAAATTAATTATTTGAAGTACGCTTTTCCCAAACACTTCAGAAGCAAATGATGCAAGCAATTGCTTGACATGATCTGACTACAAAAGAAGTAACTTCTGAATTCCAGACCTGTGTGTACACAGTCACAGAAGTGTAAAGATACTTATTTTGCTATAATCATTTTCCCAAGGGAACTCTTGAGTAACATATGCACTTAGAAAAATCATTATGTCAGCATGAAAATTATGACCACACCAGCTACACTGATGTAGTCAGTTATGCCACTTGTAACAAGACTGCAGCAGCTTGCTCTGGTAAAATGAAGACAATATTCAGGTACTTAAGCAATTAGGCATATTAAAAAGAGAGAAAGAAAAAAAAAATAAAACAAAAACCTTAAGCTTCTCAGATATTTAAGACCCTTTAAAAAAATAGCCAGGAAAAATAATAGCACTCTGAAGACTCTTTACTTCAGTACCTAGCTATGATTTGAATTTCAGACTGGAAAAAGATTGATCTGAATTACTATGGAGAACAAGCAGGATATTCCTGATGCAGAAGTCCGGCTGCATCCTTTGTCTTAAATACAGGGCAAATGCACACGATTTTTGCCTTTAGAAAATGAAATATGGAGGAAAATCCCAATTACATGCTCTCAAAAGCGTGTCACCTTTATCAGAGACTGACAAAGTCAGAAGAGAAATACAGACTGTCCGTGTGGTTTCTGGGACCCCTTTCTGAAGTGCCTAAACGTGACATAGTTTAAGACCAAAGGAGCATGTTTTGCATTGCACTTTTTTACCCTCCTTCCTGCTCAAAGCTAAGTGTTAGTTATGAAAACCATCATAAGACAAGCAGTGTATTATCTGCCTCAAAGACTGGATACTCCGTTGTCCCTCAGTACAATAAATCCTTTACTCCATTCCACATCTGTAATAGGGTTTTTTGGTTGCATTTGGGTCTTTTTGCGTGTTTTAGTTTTGTTGGTTTTTTTATTGGAAAAGTTTACTTGACTCTTGACCACAATTTCTTTACCTTTCATAAATTCGTATCTGCTAAGTTCTTTTTTTCATCCTGTGCCCAAAGTGAGAAATCTAATCATGGTTACATGTGTCATCACAAGTACACATCTAACCAGAGCTACATGTTCACAGAGGTCTGTTGTTAATCAGCTGGTGAGACAATGCTGGTGTGAAGGAAATGGATTAGCAAGGTTTCAATTAGAGCTATTTTCTTTCTCATGGGCTAGATGTGATGATCAAAAATATGGTCACTGTGTTGTCCAGAATTTTTTGACCACAGAATCACCCACAGGCAGGACATAAAACTTTCCCAGTTAGGAGAAATCCTACCTCTAAACTCAGAAGAGATCTATAATCCTGAAGTTTTTTTACCATTAGATATTTAATGATTTTCACATTCAGAATGTATTGATGACCCTTTTTGGGTGCAGAACTTGACCAAAGCACATCACTGAGTAAACCCAACTCCTCATCCTTCCCATTTCCCAGAGGACCTAGTCTGCAAACTCAGTTATTAATGCTATCTGATATAAAATCATAAAATACATCACCACAGTCAGTCACAATCATGTTAATGGGGTATCTATAGGTAGGACTGCCACTCACAGCTTGCTAAGAAGCACGAAGACACCATTATGCCTACTACATTTTTACACAGAGAAACTCTCAGCAGTCATTGTTCTTTGAACAACAAAACCCAGTAGGAACCTAGAGCAGAACATCATCAAAAAAGTGTGATCCACACAGAAACAGACAAAACCATCATTTCCAGTCAAATGCAGAGTTGTGCAGATTCTGACTCAGAGCCCTTTCTATGACTTCCAAGCTTAAAGGCATGACTGATTGTAATTGCTTCAGCTGTTAATTATACCCGATGATTCTTGAAACTGTTGAATTAACACAATATAATTTCAGTATCTCATGCCTCAAAAGCTTACCAGCCTTCAAAGTGAAGGAGCACTGTCAAGTGGTCAAATTTATGAAGGAGCTTTGAAATACTACCCCCTTCAGTGGAACTGGATCTACTCCATCATTTCCACTGAAGCTGTTATTACTGGCAATAACACAGCTTTGCTATGACCAGGGGAGGACCTAATGAGATTCAAAAATGCAAATGTATGCAAAAATACCACATGGAAAAAGAGAAGAATCGGTGCCAAATAGCTAGAAAGACCATTTCATAACAGTTTGGCTAGGGAAAGCAAACCTCGTAGGACAGGAAGATGAGGGGTCCTCCTCTCTACCAAATTGTTTTCTTAAAGCAGGCAAACACTATAGCTGCCCTAGAGTCCCATATTGATGTTTTTGTACTAAAACTGACACCTATTAAATATTTTAGTTACCATGGAGACAGATGTCTCTTCCAAATCTACCTATCTTAGCTTAAAATAATCCTTTCTCCAGACAGTATGAATACCTCCATGAGACCTGATACGTGCTCCCCAGTCTGGATTTAAGGTCAGCTTTACAAGCTTTCCAAAGACAGGCTAACCCAGCACATCTGATTGAAGCTGACTGAAGAGCATGAGCATATGCCTGCCTTCAGTGACCTCCAAAACTGTATTCCTGCCCTCAACACAGGGGTTACAGCAAACAGCAAGGGCTGTCATTTCTTCAACTCTGTCTTGGAAAAACAGACATTGATCTGCAGTTCCTCAAAACATGAACACTCTCTTTGGGAGAGAAGAAATAATGGAGGGATCCATCAAAGAAATTTGGTTTTCCACATTTAATTGTAGAGGTAAAATGATTCTGCTTCTAAACTGGAAGAGCTGCCTTCCCTGTCTAGTATCCTTTCTATCATATTAGCTGCCATGGAATATTAAGATCTTAGCAAATAAAAGCATTTACCATTGCCCTCTAATGGACTTAGCATACACAGTAGGAAGGGCAGAGTGATTTATACTGGAGACTTACAAAGCTTTATGGACTCCATTAGGGGCAGAATGCAAGACTACATTTTGAGTTCCCACATTTTAAAACCTATGTTTGCATTAAATGCTCATCCCTTGCTAACATGTCTGTATCCTTTTACTGCTGTAATCTCTGATGCCTCTCAGAAGCATTAGCATGTAACTTCGTAAAGCTTCACTGGTACCAGGAGGATTGTTCAAGAGTAACATTTGATACAGAGACATAAGCTTGCAAATGTCATAAGCATGAAGCTTCATCAAAACCACTTTGCAAATCCACAGTAGATACTGAACATCCCCTTATACTTACATGGCATTGCATGGTATATGCTGGGCCAGTACTGCCCACTGTCTCTCTTCAGCCACACACGAACTGTTCTGTAAAAGAAAACACACAACATACATATGAGGAAGAATTAAAAAAATAATCATGACTGAATCAAAGCAAAGTTGTCATGATGAATGTAAAAGATGTTCTTCAAAATTTATCTTTCTGAGAGGGAAAGTAAACTTGTGAACTCCTATACCAGCCTGATACATTAGCCTCAGATTAACTCCTGCAAGGTGATGAGGGTAGACTACTCCTTGGTTCCACGGTAGTATGGTACATCTATGGTATAGTGGTACTCCTGGGTTCCATGGCAGTATTCAACATCTTGGCTGAACACATCTCAACAGTATTTGGAAACTGCCATGGCTTTTAGTTCTTCGCCTTTACAAAGACTTGGACATGACTTTTCATTCAACACTTCACGTGAGAATTTGGGATACCACAGGTAGCCCAGCAGAGCACTCCTGTATCAGCGCTTCTGGTCTCTGCAGAAACCTTCCCCCTGCTCTCAGCGTAAGCCTTGGCTCATCTGCTGCCTGTTGTTTCAAGGTTCTGCTTCAGGAAAACCTCTAAGAAAAAGAAGGAAGTTCTCAAATTTTCAGCAGTTTATTACTAACATTATGTCCATTTGTGCCAAAAATGACCTCTTCATCTTCAGGGCCTTTCCCTCTCCTCTGTGCACACACAGTGCTGTCAGAAGAAGCCACTGAACACAAAGAAGCCAAACTCTTACCCTTCTCTGAAGTGGATGCCCACCCTTGCAGGTCTCCTCTGCCTCATCAGTTTGCAGCTGTCTTTGAATAGTGGCACTTAGAACCACACAGTGCTCCCTACAAACACATCAGCAGTTTCCTCTCTACTAGAAGACCTGCCCAATGTATTTCAGGATTACTTTTGCTTTCTCATAATCATATACCGTCGTATCTCATAATAATATACTGTCAGATACCTGTTACTCAATCAATGCCCTTCAGAGGTTTGTTGCTTGTTTCTACAGCAGAGGATCTGTACTGATGCACCATCTGGGTCATTAAATATTTATTATTTTAGCCCTCATTTTCTTGTTTTGGTCCAGTCTCTGAAGCTTCCCTGTAACTGAAGCTCTCTCTTAACTTCAGTTCATCAGTTAATTTTATTAAAACATGTCTAGCAACAGTGTCAACAGTCAAAGCAGCATTATCTCTTGCTTGTTCCTGCATAGCCCACTGTCATCTCACTTACAGCCACCTGTTACCTCCTTTATTGTTCCTCTAATCCTTATCTCTAATATTAACTAGAAAACTCTCCATATAGCATTGTATTCTTGCTTTATTGACTTACACTGAATGTATTAACTTCCTTTAGAAAACACAGCTATCCAAGACAGCACCATGTTAGCATAGCATTTTGACCCATCACCCACCTCTATTTAGTCTTTTCCATCAAAATTACTATGTAACAACATAGGCAGGACGGATCTAAAAAACTAGTGTTTCTATAAATTGCATTTGATACTATTAAGAAAAAGCAACAAGCAAGAATGGCTCTTTCCAGTACATGAAACACAGAAATACTGCATGATCATTTCTACTGTTACCTCATTTTATTCAAAGAGAAAACTGCAGCCCTCTTCAGTTAGTAGAAATTCACAGCTATGTCATGATATAAGAAATGCAAGGAATATAAGAAATATATAATAATGAATATAAATTAATCTAATGCATTATATACATAAATAATAGTCTGAATTGAGATGCCATGCATAATAAAGCAATTCAAGAACTAGTAATCTATCCTTCAAATTTCACACTAAAGGCTGCACCATCTTCCTGCATTGCATATGCCGAAAATCAGGTTTCTATTCATCTTACCCTGCATTCAAACTCCTTTTACAGCAAATAATTCTGAGACCTTGTATATTTGGGCACTACACAAGCTGAATCATTATAGAAATATCTCAAGCACACACTTTGACAGGGTATGGTGTTCTAAAAACTAACACTTCACTGGTTAACAAACCCCAATGTTAGAAAGCTCTCACAAATTACTCAAAACATGTGACATTGATTCAAATTATCTCTTAAGTCTGGCCTTTTTGTGTTGAACACAGTAGCAGCTCTGAAGCAAAGCCACCAAAACTTTTTATAAGGCACAATTTACTACCCAATAACAACCCTGACCCATCTTTGATCGTGAGAGGGACAGACAAATCCTTCTGTCATTTCTCCCATAGCTGACCACAGCTGCTGACCAGGAGCTCTAGAAGCACATCAGCCTCTCTGTTTCCCAAACAGACGTGCTGTTACAAATGTTTGTGTCCTTGACAAGTGAGCTTATTGTGGCAATGAATGAGTGTGCACAAAAAATAATGGGATGAATCACAGGGAGCTGAAATAACTGAATATGAAACTACCCTGAGGAAATGCACCTGTGAGAGACCTGTCCTTCTTGACCATCCCAGTCTAAGTATTTTGAGTGCTATCTGTTTCAAAATCCCCAGGCTTCAACAATATTGCCTTTCCTCTCCATTCTGAGGCCCCAGCAAATAATAAATCTAGTACAACACACAAATAATTCAGCTTGCTAGGAAAGGACTGTGTAGAAGAACACATCTTTCAAAAGCTAAAGGAAATAAAAATGAATTTTATGTGCAAAAATGGCAATAATTTGAATGCTTTGGGTTGGTTTTGTCATTGTTTATTAAACTGTACCCACTGGAGAATTACTAATCAATTTGACAATTATGTCAATTTTATGGCTTTTGGATGAATGATAATGAAGCAAAACATATTTTCTAGTAAAGCTTAAAACAAACCAAGAAAAAAGCTGCTGGAGGTTGTGTTAAGAGTGAAACTACTTCTACTAATATAGGCCTCTTCCATAGGTACAGTCTGTTCATTTTTTAATGTAGTCAAATATATTTCCATTCAAGGACTCAGGTGACTAAATGAGAACTAAATGAGAAATAAAGCATTCTAAGAATAAAAATACGATAAAAAGATGTCACCTAACTGTAAGGTGTGTGTAAAGCAACATAACCACCAAGTCAGTTCAGGTAACTCTTTAGAAAATTAAGTATCTCCCCAGTAAATGATCTGAAATAAAAGAAACTAAAAGATCTTGTAAACAATTTATCTAAAAATTAAGGATGATTACTATGCATGTCTTTAAAGCAAACATTTAAAATTTATATTAAGCATTAGAATGGAATTCCAATATCTATGCAGAAGCTCATGTAAAAACATGAAAATTATTTAGGAAATGACGATTCAGAATTTTTTCTTCTTAAGGCCATTGAATTAGAGAGAATGTTTTATTGAAAGAAGGAAAACCGACCTCAGTTCAGCAACCTTTTCCAGGTAACTTTTTCTCAAAGTAGATTTGGGCTAAAGAACAAACCATATCAACTACTTAATCTGGGAGAAGCCAAGTGCTCTTAGAAGAGCACATCCTTTTTCTGCACATGTTCCACACATTTCTGTATACTTCTTTACAGAATACTATCCACTAAATGTGAAACCCAGAGCTTTTCAAGCTTCTAAAGAATGCAAAGAAAAAACCCAAGCATAAATGAAAATTAGCTTTTTTTTATGGATATCCAGCACGAAGAGTACTCGCTGCTTGCATGGTTACTGGACTTAAACAGCACCCAGCTGGGTCAGGATTCATTCTTCAGCTGCTCTAGAGTGATTCAGTCAGCATCACCATGGAAATGAGCTGTCCCTTCATTTTGTTGCCAGCGAATTGACTTGGAAAGATTTTTAGAAGCTGCCAAATCGATGGATGTTCTTCTAGTCTTTTCATAACAGAGATGATTTATTTTTAAATGAGACAGGCTATACAGAAATAATTCTGCCATACAAAAGACAGGCTATGTCTTCGTATATTAAGGGGATGTGAAAATTAACGATTTTATAAGAAAAATTGTTTCTCTCTGTTATGATGAAGAGAATGTGCCATAGGTGGCTGTGGATGTACCAGCAGGTCTCAAGCACACTGCCAGGCTGTGCAGGTGTGCAGGAGGTGGGCTTCACTTGAGCACCTACTACTCATGGAGGTGCCCATGTCAATAGCAGCACATCCACCCCAGCATGGCAGCTCCGTGTGTCACCATCCACAGAAACGTATTCAGTCACTGCTGCCTCATTTCTGATAAAAACAATTTGTTCATACAAACCCAACTTTCTGCATCTAGGCTGCAGTATGCCTCATGAAAATCTGCACAATGCTGATAGATGATCTACTCTATCCCTACTCTGGCCTGAGTGATCACCTCACTGCTGGAAAACACAGTGCTGCTTGGAGTGTTGGAGTTGAGTTCCTGTGAGTGACTCATAGCAGGGCTCCTGTCTTTTTTCCTTTGTGCCTTACATGAAGGTAAGACAAAAGACAAACACTGGTGTTGCATACAGTACAGACATACTGCTGTGTCGAAGCACTGGCCCAAGATGTTTGTATGTTGCAATACTGGGAAATCTGGGGTAGGGAGATCCATTAACTCAAGAAACAAGGTCCCTATAACACTCCATTCCTCCAGAATATGCATAAACCCACCAGTTCTAATTTCACAGTTTAAGGAAATCTATTATGTCCATTTCCCATAACAGATCCTTCCTCTTCTGTTCAGTTTTTTTTTTTTCCTTTCTCATTCCTGTCTTTTTCAAAGTTTCTCTTTGCTGAGAGGCACTTGTGTAACATTATCACTTTCATGCCCCAGACATACACCAGAGTATAACAGAGAAGAGCTAACCCCCAACACATACAATTAACTATGTTATTTCATAGGTGTATTTGGGCTTCAGGAATTGCTTTAAATGGCACTTTAATGTATTTCTTATTGTTTGTACTTTGGACCATGTACTGCAGGATTATTTTATCTCTTGTCTTGCTGAGTGACCAAAACCGGTAAGCATCAAATGAAATGTGAAATTATTTTTAAATTTTTATTTTATTATCTTATAGTTTTATTCTTATTTGTAGTGAGAACACAAATTATAGAGGTACAGAAACTTTCATCTGTCACTTTTTAAAGTCATCAGGCTTATTCAGAGACCCTAAGAAAATTATA